CCCCCCCAAAAAAAAAAAAAGGAAAAAAAAATTCGAAGAGTTGAAAAGAGAGTATCTATCCCGGAAAAAAAGGCGACCTTGGAAAACATGGAGATAAAAGTTGAGTTCAAAGCTTAGCCCGACGTGGGAATCGAACCCACAGCCTCAAGATTAGAAGTCTTGCGCGCTACCGATTGCGCCAGCCGGGCAGGCATCTTACACTTACTGATTAAAGCTCACATTATAATTGATGAAGTTGCATTACATCCTTGAATTAGAACCACCCAATACCGCCTAACACAGCAGAGGGATGAAATGCAAGCTCGGCAAGCATTCCCTAATGCCAAGTCCCTTTCTGCCATCCAAAGGGCCCAAGCTCCCTTCGTCTAAACCCTTGGAGCTTCCATGTCTTTAGTGCTTGCGTCCCTCCTTTCGAATTGACATCATCGTCTCCCCACCAGCACTTTGGAACCCGACATCGCGAACCCATTCAACCACAATTCCGCAACTTACGGAAGTTACAAACATTGCAAAGTACGACGCCTTAAACAGCGAAACAAAGATCCCATCCTCGATCGTTTCAATCCGCAACACCATGCCCCAAGATAACAGCGGCGACTGGACGTCGCGGGCCCAGGTTGAGCCCCATCAGCTCGAGGGCGGTCATGCGGTGCCCTATTGGGACAAGAGCTGGTGGGAAGAGTACCGCCGAGCTAGGAGTATCAGAGAAAGAAACGAAATCATCACCAAGCTCGTCGACCAGATGCCCGTCAAGTGGGACACGCTGCCGCAGCTGCCCTTCTGGGCCCCTCTGTTCAACGTCACCCAAGACCAGTACAAGGTGGACGTGGGCCAGAGACTCATGGCTACGTCCTTCCTATTGGGTCACCAGCCGCTGGACCGGGAGGATATCGATCTTGTCGCCTACGGCGCCGCCAAGCGATCTGTCACCAATGCGTACGCCCGACCCGCCATAGCCCTTGGCGCAGGCGTCTGCTGGGCTGTTGGATACAACAAGTACAACTTCCCTTTCTGGAAGCCAAAACCGGCATCCTTCAACCCCGAAATCTTCCCGAGCCAGAAATTCACCCTCGCTACCGGACACCGGGCTACTTTGGCCTGGCAAGGCGTCCGCATTGCCGCTTGGTATGTTACCTGGAGAATTTTCGGCGGCTGGGTTGCGGATGCGTATGCCGAGACCGTCTTCTCGGCGACATTGATGCGGAACAAGGCATTCAAGCAGAAGCTGCTCGAGGCGGGACAAGCGATGAAGGCGAATAGCATTACTCATGAGAGGCCTGAACTGAGGGACGCTTATTTAGTTGGGCACGAGCCGGATCATGACCACCAGGAGGATCAACAGCAACTACCACAGCACGCGCAAACACCATACTACCAGCGGATCCAGCAGCACCAACAAGAACAGAAACAACAACACCAGATGCAGCAGCAGCAGCAAACACAACAATCCACTTATAGCCATGACGATGATGATTACCTCTTCGATGATGCCTCCCCCGTAGCACCAGCCGCCAGAGGAACGGGTACCGTTAGCTCGCCCGTCGCCCAATCTTCCGGTTCCGCATGGGACAGACTCCGACAGCAAGCAATGGGGGCCCCCGCGCAAGCACCTGGGAGCACGACCGCACCCACAGCTGCCATCTACGTCAAGCCTTCCCAGTCCCGTTCGTGGGCTGAGCGCCGCGCGGCTGCCGTAGGCGGCGGTGAGGGCGGACTGTCGCATTCGTACTTAGAGACCGACCAGGAGAGAGCTCTGGCCAAGGATCAGGCGCAAAGGGAGTTTGATGCCATGTTGGAGAGAGAGAGGCGTGGCGATGGCAGCAGTCGTAGACGTGGGCTTTGAGTGAGCGAGGGTAGGAGTGGCGAATATCCAAGAGCGGCTGGCTATATGTGTACATATAATATCCTGCTTGGTAGATGTGGATGGTCTTTACCTTCCCACCTGTTCTAAGCCTGCTTGTTTACCGGAGCTGATGGCGGAGTTTTAGGGGGATTTTGATGGCTTTTGCATTGCCGGGAGTCTGGCTTAACATATCGTCTGTCTTTGTAAGTCTCAACACTAAATCTACACTGCACCCGTTTTCCCTTATGAATTCGACTTCTGGAAACTGTAAATAAATACTTTTCTTTTCTTTTTCCTCTAAGGCTCTGACTCGATATCCGGCGGAAATGTCCCAAACAGCGCCATGAGATGCTCTATCTCCTCCTTGCTAAGCATTTTTCCCTCCGTACCAGCCTTGGAGAGCATTCGAAAGTCTATCATCCAAGAACCCCCATTAGCAAATCAAGGATTACCTACAGAGAGATCGACCAAATAAAGGGTGTAAGCAAGGGGCAGGGTCAGAAAAAAGGGGCATACAATCGACGTAATGGCCTGGCGTGGCAGTCATATACACCTCGCAGGCTTCCGTCTCCGACGCATTTTTGAACGTGTGGATGGCTCCTGGCGGGACTGTCATGAGGTCTCCGGCCGTGGCGTCCACTTCGGCGTCGGGTGTTACGAAGCGACATGTCCCTTTTAGAGGAAAAAAAAAGAGTCAGTCAGACATTGTTAAGAGAAAAGTGTCGTGTGTATTTTCCAGATCTGATTTGATGGTCTCGTGTCGTATTGTATCATGTTCGTAGACAGTTGTTTGAGAAGATTACTCGTAGGGAGACCCCTCGAGCCATCTGCAGTCGCATCTTCTTCCATCTCTTCTTATGTCATCTCATCTCGTCTCAAGCCCACTCCCATCTCAACCACTGCTCAATCCCATGACACCGCTGCCTCCTCTAGAAAAAAAGAGAGGCCAAGACGGTCAAGAGATCGAACCACCTACCCTTAACGACAAAAAACAACTCGTCATGAAACCGATGCCAATGCATGGGCGGCCCGGAAACCCCCGCTGGGAGCTCCAACAGGATGGCGCTGATGCGGTCGCCGGTGCGGGATCCGTCCTCGTAGACGCGGATGGTCATGGGCCCGACCTTGAGCACCTCGGCGGCCTGTCTGGTAGCCAGGTTGACGGGGATGGGGCCGCGGACTGGCATTGGTTCCTGTTCTGTCTACTAGTATGTTCTTCGTGCGGATGATGAGGATTTTTTTTTTTTGGAATAAATGTGGATGAAGAATAAAAGAATTGATGGGAGGGAAGGTTAGGGGAGAATGTGGATAAAGTGGAAGTATATACAGGTTACTAAGCGTAGGTAAGCGACTCCATCCTTTAGTGTAGTCTTACGCACGGCCACAACTTACATGTTATCCAAAACACATGGTCTTTCACGATGTCGATTGATCTGGACCAGAATGGGTCGCTGGTCGCAAACAGTTTGCGCAAATTGAATACTATCAATGTTGATATGCCTTTAGCTGCCAGCTCCCACGATGATTCAACAAAAAGAAGAAAAATATTTTCTTTCCTGCACGCTTTGCTTTTGGCATGCCCATTGTCCAATCACTTTTTCCAAATGTTCATGCTTTCATCACCGAGCCATTGCTTCATATCCCCCTTCCGTGGCTCGCCATGATAACCAAATTCGGCCTGTGTCGTCGTAGCCGTCGGCCGCCCACCCCCCACGCCAGCTCATGGCTCATGATCAGACCTTATGCCCATTATGCGGATATGCTATGCCCACCGCATCCGTTGGCAAATGCGACGCCTGCTTGACCACGTACAGTGAATTCGCCCTCATTCTCCTGATAGTAAACGAACCAGCTGTAGGACTCTTGGCCAAAGTCGGGCTGTTCGACCTCGTCCGCTGTAGCGGTAGCTGTCTGCCATTGGCGGCCACCCCTACCATGGTCGGCGCCCGTGTTGGTGGACGCGACCTGCCTGTCAGCATCTGTTCCTCGCAGTTTTCGCAGCGACCGGGGCTTTCGTAGATATCGTAGAGGTGGCGGAACAAGGGGTAAAGGTCCCTGGCGTAGGGGCGCACGTGGTAATCGCGATCCATCATTCTTCTGATGGGTCTGAGGACCTTGATGACGCCGATTAGGGATGCTTCCCTCTCTCTTTGCCGAGTTTTCTCCCTCTCTCTGAAGGATTGTGATTTTGGCATGGACGGCGGAAGGTTGGTTGATGGTGTGGGCCTGTCCGGCGATGGAGATGGAAGCGCATCAAGTTGATCTTCTGCCACCTGTTCGAGATGATCGATGTATTCCTGTAAGTTGTCTAACGCATCGGTGTACTTGAACTCGCCAACTTGATCGGCATTACCTGCCATGCGCTCAAGCTGCTCCTCGGCATACGATGGAGGCTTCCCGAGTAGTACGGTCACCATCTCGAGGAAGACACAACCCAGTGAGAAGACATCAGACCTCTCATCGCGCTGCGTCTCCTGCATTGCTTCTGGGTCGGCATACTTGAGCGTCTTGGCGGTAGGTCCTTGAGAGTGCTGGCCTGTTTCAAAGTGCTTGGAAAGCCCAAAGTCGGTGAGCAGAGGAAAGCCAAAATCGTCAATGACAACGTTCTCGGGTTTGATGTCCTTGTGTCGTATGCGTACTGTTGACTTGTGCAGATAGCTCACAGCTTGGGACAGGCAACCAAAATATGAATGGAGATATTGTACCATCCAATTTTCCTCTTCAGCAGTACGTGGTGAGTGGGCAGCAGCGGACGCGATATCGAGCATCAAAGTTCGTAGATTGCATTGGGCCGGAGGATACATGGCGATGCCGAGTATGTGACGCTTGATCTGTTGATCGACTCTCCTGAAGACGGCGCGAGCACCAGTATCACCAGCACGGCGCTGGCGGACCTGGCGGTTGGAGATGCAATAATCCTCAAACGAAGCTACGTAGACTACGATGTGAGGATGGCGCACCGCCACCATGTTTCGCACCTCTTGCAGGGCCAGCTTGCGCACATTGCTGTCAGGGCCAGGCGGGTGCGCGTTTTCTTTGCAAACAATAACTTTGAGGGCCAGGGGTCGTCTGTAGCCTTGATCGTCCGGAGGGCTGACCTTGTAGACGATGGTCGAGCCGGACTCGCCCAGCTCAGGACCTATCTGGATAAAAGGCTGAGGAGGCTTGAGATACTCCTTGTTTGCGTGGTTGAAAACCTTGTGCTTCTGCGGACTGAGCCCAGCGTCCTGGACCGGACGGAGCCAGGCCTCGGATTCTTCCCTGCCATGGTCGTCCCATTCGAAATGATCATGGTCGTGCGTGGTTATATAGTCCAGCATGTGGAGCATGGCCTGGGAGGCTTGGCTCCCGGCGGAATCGGTGGACATCTGGAATCCCGGCTTCCCACGTGCTACGCCGGGCTGCTCAGTGCTTGAAATAGAAAAGTACCCTCTCGTAAGCGGCGGGAAGCGATTGACGGAAAGACAAAAAGGGGGGTGGGTTGGAGGGTGGGTTGCGGGTGATGCAAGGGCCAAGCAAATCAACCAGCAAAGTCTCCAGGTACCTTGTCTTGGGACTGAGATGAGGCAAGATCGCGATAGTGGTGACAGGTTGGCACTAATCCAGCCATCCACAGTTCTCGAGTCTTCCAAGACTGCCTAGGAGATTGAAGCTTGGTCGTGATTTTCCGTGTTTCGCTGGCCGATTGTCGAAGCGGGGAATGCCGCAACAAGACGCCCGGAGCAGACACCGAACGAGCAGGCGGTGGAAGTGCCATGTCTCGAAACGAACCGGGGGCGCTAAATCCTCTGGTTATGATAGGATCGTTCCCTTGGTTGGCAGATATGCGGTTTCAGGCCCAAATCTGCCCGGTGAACGCAGCGACTGGCTCGCGGTGAGAAGAACCCGAGCGAGGCCCAGAGAATGCTGCGACAAGTGGACAGGCCAGGCAGGCCTCGAGAGTCCCGAGACCACCGCTCACCAATCTCAAAATTCGACTCCCGATGCCAAGTTTAAAGCGCCTCATGGCAGCGCTCTTGGCCCCAGCACCAAGGTAGCCGCCGTTGAAGGCCATGAGTAAGACAGCGGGACATTGGCTCCTCTTTTAGCGCAACAGGGCGACGGCTCAATCGGACTCTGCTGATAAGTATTGCTCGTCGCTTTTTCCAGTGCGTCGAGATATCAAGCTTAACCCCGGTGGCGCCTTGTCCATCTCTTCCCCTGTAGCGAGCGCATTTTGCCCACAAGCGATGCCCACAAGCGATGCCCAGCAAGCGTAAACATCAGGCTCATCATGGCGGCATGATTGATGGCTTAGGTGGTAGGTGTCGCTTCCCGTGGATGGTCAAAATTGGAACCAAGCCGGCGACGGGAGCGGGCGCATCACTGGGGCCTTCAGTGGGGCCTTTGGGTACTATGAAGCCTGCTCGACGGGACGAAGACGGAAGAGCCTGGGTGCTGGCCACCTCAGGCAGGACAAGCTGGCGGGGAACGGGATTGACGGGAATTGCGGGAGCCCCAAGGGGGAAGAACCCACCCCAAAAGGATGACTGGGGCGGGGCGAGGGGAGGGCCGACGGCGGCAGTGATGGACGAGGTACGTACCTAGAGGTACCTTCTAGTGTAGTAAAGGTAGTGTAGGGTACGTACCTCTCCCCTATGTAGCGTAGTGAGGTTCGACCAGAATTCAACGGTGGTACTTCCGTAGGGCAGCAGGACAAGGGGCAACCTAGGCCCAGCGGAAACGCGCGGGAGCAAAGCACGAAGCGGGCGGGGTCAACGTCAACATTCTCCAATTCATGAAGATCAATTGACATCACAAGACCAGCAAAGCGTCGCACTCTGTAGTGTATCCCGTTGTTTCTGCGCTTTCTGGTCGGGTTTGTCCTGCTTGTCCTCGGCTTGTCCTTGAAGTGGAAACTCAACACCAATGTTTTTGCAAGCTTGTGCTTTCCTGTTGGGCACTCTGCACTATTTACAACTTGCATCAGGGCATTCCAGCCGTGCTCCTGCTGAATGTTTGGAACTTTGGGGCACGATGATGGTGGTGGTGACGGCTTGATGGAGGTAATTTCCTTCAAGTTCCAGGCTCTGTCCGTTGCATGCATGCGTAACCCGTGCATGAAAGAATGGGAATACACCATGGGGAAGAAGGTGGGGCATCCCGCAGTCGGAGCTGACCATGCAGCAGTGACCGGGCATGGCTGCAGTCTCGCTCCTGCGATGCGGATGGAACTTTTGTCAAATGTCTCGGTTTCTTTGCTTCCCCCTCTTCCACAGCTGCAGGCACCGAACACGCTGTCTTCTCGAATGCTCACCGAATCCCGCCAGATTCATCAGTCCCCGTGACCCAAACAAAATTTCGTCATTTGGGACGCGACTCCACGGAATTTGGCGGATCGACAAATACGATACTGTGTAAATGCGACCCTTTTGCACAGAAAGCAAGCGCCCCATGTCAGTGCGACAAGTGTTGGGCCTTGCTGGTCGCGTAATCGCTCGAATCGACGATGCCCCTTCGGCACTTCCCAATTAGGAAGTCCGGCCAACTGGCGATAGCACAATGAATCATCACTCACTTACTCTCACACGCTTTCTTGACCGAAAGTTGTGCGCCCACACTCTCAACAGGAGCAGCACTGCGCTTTCAACTCGCCCGGCTAGCTCAATCGGTAGAGCGTGAGACTCTTAATCTCAAGGTTGTGGGTTCGACCCCCACGTCGGGCTCAATTCCCGGCGGCGAGTGAACAGTCTTCTTTTTGACATTTTGCTCCAGTTTTCTAACGTCAGCCGTAGTTTTTGATGTCAGAACAAACAAACAAAAAACAGAACACGGTGACCGAGCATCATACCGGCCCGGGGGTCTTTCACCGTGAGCCTTTTGTATGGCTGCATAAATGTGTGGCTTGTTTTCGCCTTTGCACATCGAGATGGTGGTTGAGCATCTTGGCAGTCCACAATTCTTATCTCATAGCTGAGGTGCAATAAGCCAACGAGAGGCCCTCAAGCCAGCGATCATCGGCGGACTGTCGTAACCGCCAGAGGGCGTCGGGTAGCATTGAGAGGCTTTGAGAGGCAAGGGGCATCATAGTGTAGCAATGACAAATGACAATACTACACTAGTAACAACAACACCGTGTGGTGTAGTGTAGTGTAGTGTAGTGTAAAGGCGGCTTCTTCAATCTTGATACGCTTTCCTGTTCCCGTCGATGCCGTTCGCGGCCCCAGGTCTCCCCTCGGTCTCCTCTGAATGGCATTGTATATTTTGGGAAATCCGGTCCTTGCCCCTGGACGGGACTTGCCAGACTCCAGTTCTCCGTCCAAGTTGTTGGCGGGGGGTCGTATTCCCTGGATCAGGGGCGGAGACGATGAAAGACAGGACAGGTCACAGGTTCATTCAGGTTTGATGAGCCTAAAATAACGTTATCAGTTCTGCTGCGGTTGGCCGAGGTGCTTCAATGTGCTGGGAGGTGCTTGGAGGTACACGTTGTACATACATACATGGTCAGCTAGGTAGTGCATCGCGGTGGTGCCGTCGCATCGCAATGGAGGCCCGGAACAAACCCCAGTTGTTCAAAGGAGTAGTGCGAGCATTGGAGCGTTCTGGACTTTTGCTTCAATGTTCGAGGCTCCTTGTCGGTGCAAATCTTGTCCGTGTTGGTGGGTGTAAAAGGGAGAAAAGTGGCTCTTCGGGCTTCCTGGAGAGGACGACTCCGCATTTTCGGGGCAATTCTCCCCCTGCGACCGCCCATCCGCATTCGCGACCTCTGCACATGTTCCATGCAGCAGGTACCTTCTCCCAGCAACAGCCATGGTGCAGCGAGTGCAACCGCGCTGCAGGATGCGACGTAGCAGCGAAGCATGGAGGTGCTGAGGGGAAGAAATGTACATGTACCGTGGTACCTTCTAGCGCGTACCGGAAAGGGGAAAAAGGATTCTTGATTGGGCGTCAAGTGGATCCCCGCAAATGTTCCACCACTGGCCAGCAGGAAGCGCAACCCGACAAAGCGTGCCGATCAAATTTTTTTTTTTGATCTTCTTTTTTGGTGGTGTGTGTGTTCTCCAGAAGCAGACGGAAAAAAATCAGCCGGGCAAGTTGACAAGATTACTGCCGAGAAAATCGATTGCGCACTCACCCTGTCAGACCTGCTCACCCTGCACGCGGCACGCACTACACGAGCCAGGCCTGGGACGGTTCGGTTCGGAAGTCTGGGACAGGAAAGAGAGACCAATCCGTCGCAGATTGCAGCTGGTCACAAGAGACCAGCCCAGATTGCGCCCAGCCAGGGGAACGAGACTAGCATAGCTCGCATACCTGGCCAGCAGCAGCAGAAGCAAGGTGCAGTGCGGTTGCTGTCTGGAATAAATAAGGTAAACATGTCGCCCTCGATGTGGACGATGAGGTGGTCGCACCAGGTCATCAATGAACACCATCGACACCACTTGAAGTCTTGTTCGACCATCAGCCGTGTGAACAACGCTCTCAAGTCCATCATCCCACGAACAAGACCCGGAGGTCCGTGCACCACTATCAGCACTCTCCCAGTGTTATCAGCACCACCGATTATCAGCTAGGGCCAGGCCTTTGATGACGTAGTAGCCGCGGCAGCTCGTCTCCTCCTCCGCACTCGACCACGCAATAGCAACCGTCCTCGCGGCCTCTGTTTGGCACATCGATCTTGGGGACGTCGATCCAGGGTCTTCATTCTCCAGCAGACAAACAGTCTTGCCCGATCTCGATCCTCCCCCCCACATTGTGTCACTTTCTCCGGCTGTGTCATAGGCATCCAGCCCGTCAGACCTGCCTCATCCGCAACCCGTCTCAGTACTACAAGTAGACGGCCGCATTCAGCCATCCGAAACAGCTTTCTCTCTTGTTCTCCATCATCATCCTTTCTTTATACCAACAAGACATACCACCACACCACCGCCACCACTACCAACTACCTCGGCTTCACTCACACACGTCACACAAGTCATACAAGTCATACAAGCACCACCACCACCACCACCACTACCACAGACACAGACACAGACACCCCGCACGAGGCATTACCATCTACCCCGCTTGAACCCGTTCCTACAAGAACAACTTCAGTCACCATGAAGTTACTCAACCTCAACGATGGCGTCGAGGCCGGCGTCATGTGTGTAGAACCCACCCTCACAAACGATGGCATGGACGCCCGCAACCTAGCAAAGGCCCACAAGGGTCCCATTGTCACCCACCTAGAGCATCTTCCCCGCGGCATCCACGAGACGCCCGAGGAGAGGAAAAACCACTGGTTCGTCGGCTCCGTCGACCAAGGCACCACCTCTTCCCGCTTCCTTATCTTCAACGGCGAGGGCGACCCCGTTGCCAGCCACCAGATTGAGTTTGAGAACCTCTACCCCAAGTCAGGATGGCATGAGCACGACCCCATGACTCTGCTCAACTCGGTCGAAGAGTGCATTGAAGGTGCCATGCGTAAGTTTCAACGACTAGGCTTCTCCAAGAACGACATCCGCTCCATCGGCATCACCAACCAGCGCGAAACCACGCTTGTGTGGGACCATGAAACCGGCGAGCCTCTCTATAATGCCGTCGTCTGGCCCGATACTCGCACCAAGTCCCTTGTCCGCGACCTCAAGGCCAAGGACGGCGCCGATGCCATCAAGGACCTTTGCGGTCTTCCCCTCTCCACCTATCCCAGCAGCGTCAAGCTTCTTTGGCTCATTGAGAATGTTGAGGCCGTCAAGCAGGCCTACGAAGAAGGTCGTCTTGCCTTCGGCACTGTCGACACTTGGCTGATCTACAAGCTCAATGGCGGCGCCCAGGCTGAGAGTCCTGTCCACGTAACAGACAGCACCAACGCCAGCAGAACCATGTTCATGAACATCCGCACTCTGCAGTATGACGACAAGTTGCTAGGATTCTTCGGAATTGACCGAACCAAGGTGCATTTGCCCAAGATCGTCCCTTCGTCGGACCCTGAATGTTTCGGTCGCATTGCCAGTGGTGCGCTGTCGGGTGTGCCGATCGCTGGTTGCTTGGGCGATCAATCCAGCGCCCTGGTTGGCCAGTGCGGCTTCAACCCCGGCCAAGCAAAGAACACCTACGGCACTGGCTGCTTCCTGCTCTACAACGTCGGCACCGAGCCCGTCATCTCGCAGTACGGTCTTCTGTCCACTGTCGCCTACGACTTTGGTCAGGGCCGCGCGCCCGTCTACGCCCTCGAAGGCAGCATTGCTGTCGCCGGCGCCGGCGTCACCTTCCTCCAGAACAACCTCAACTTCATTGAGAACGCTAAGCAAATCAACGACCTTGCCGAGTCGGTGCCCGACAACGGAGGTGTTGTGTTTGTCACCGCCTTCAGCGGCCTGTTCGCCCCTTACTGGATCGATGATGCAAAGGGAACTTTGTGTAAGTGATCACCATTACCCACTCTTTCCACACGACTTCTCCCGACCCACCTTGGAGCATCATCCAACCGTTACATTCATCCTACCCCGTTCCACATGAAAGATCGGAAGCTAACCTGTCATGTGCCCAATAGTCGGAATTACTCAACACACCCAAAAGGGACACATTGCTCGTGCCACTCTCGAGGCTACCTGCTTCCAGACCAAGGCTATCCTTGATGCCATGGAGAAAGACTCGGGCTGCAAGCTCAAGCTCCTCGCTGTCGATGGTGGTCTCTCCAACTCCGATCTGACCATGCAAACCCAGGCTGACATCAGCGGTATTCCCGTTGATCGTCCGGCCATGTGCGAAACCACCGCTCTTGGCGCTGCCATCGCTGCCGGCCTCGCTACCGGTGTCTGGAGCGATACCACCGAGCTCCAGGAAGTTAACCGGACCGGCCGGAAGGTCTTTGAGCCCAAGATTTCTCGCAAGTGTGCCGAGAAGAGGTTCAAGAAGTGGAACCAGGCTGTTCAGATGAGCCGCGGCTGGCTGCAAGACAATGACAACGAAGACGACGAGTGCGACGAGGAGGTGAAGAAGGCCTAAGCCGGACACCTCGCTTTCTCACCCTTTCTACACACCTTCTCTTTCCAGATCCATCGTCTCACAAGATGATCTTGTACAACATTTTGCTTGCTTTAAAAACACTGCATTGGGATTTTGCGATGGAGTTCGGGATGAGCATTTTTGGGTATATCTTTTCATTCTTTTCTCCTGTATAACTTATCATGATTGGGCTTTTTTTTGCGAGGAGTTATGGGCGAAAAAGGGCGAAATGAACAAAGCAACACACGCATGAATAAGCGTGAATGGGACTGCCGGCGGGAATAAATGGCTTGATCTAATACCTCACGAGGATACCCTCATTTAGTTCTTGGAACATTGGGACTTGGATGACCACAAGTAATTACATTATTATATGAATATTTAACAAACTGCTCCCCATCCGTGATGGCGATTGATGTCTTTTTCCGCTTCGCTGCCTTTGTGCCTCAGAATATCTCTCATCACTCTGCTACTCCCACCCCAGTTCGTAGACATAATACATTTCCCCCATCCATGGCCGGGGTTATGCCGAACATCACTTCTCTTTCCATCACGTAACTTGCACACAGCCGGATAATCCGGACTTACGTACCATGACTTCCGGTCTCTATCACATGTCCTTGTTGAAGTGGACAGGTGGATCATGTCATCCACATGCAGAACTAGAGGTAGGCAGATACTGTAGAAACTCGCGAGCCTGGTCAAATACTATCGCTCTATAGGTACCGGATATGCGGCGAATTTGTACAGGTAGCTGACAGGACCAGGCCGACCCTTGTGCCTCGAAATGTATGTAAGTTAACATAGAAGGCAATATCCCCGAGTTTACACTAACTGGAAGGCCACATTTACTGGCATATGCGTGCTTACTGGGCATACCTCTGGCAGATTTCTGCTCTGTGTTCGGAGCCCAAAGAAGGATAGTAGGTATTTGACCAATTTCACGAGTTTCTATGATATCAAGGTGCGCACGCAGGAGAAATGTTGAAGACTTACGTACCACTAGGTACATGGAGTGGTATACTAAGGCATGTATAAATCACGCCCAATGTGCGCCGGCATTCACAGGCTGTCAGTACCTAGTCATATGTACAAGCTCTAGCGAGATTTGGAGACGTATGAACCCCAATAACTGTCATGTCTTAGGTTGGTTTACCTTGGCTTGCCCTGGTCTTTATTGGAGTCAATATGAAGGTATGCATACAGCTGCTCCCTTGCCCTTGTCTACATCAACATTACCTACAAACCCACACTTTACAAGCTCTCTGGCTTCGCTGGAAAACACTGGAAATCGAGGGACATTAGTGGATGTGTGTGATTGACACTCGTTCACTGCGAGCTGGATTTTCCAAGTCGGCCTTTGGAAGCATAGAGAATATATTCTTCAGATCTGTCACTAGAAAAGTACTTTGAGGTATGTTTGGCTCCATTTGCTATGAATCCATTTTCCAAGATCCGAGTATGTAACAATTTGCCCCCCTCACGGTGATACAAGAAAATATCAAGCCGGAAAATCTTACCAAAAGAAATGCCCCAGACACACGGTACAGACACGCGGAACCGGCTTTTTCCCAACATCAAGTGCAATCATGCTTGCACATCGTATAGACCATTTTGCGGACGTAGAGTCAATTGGGCTGTCATCCGTCTGCTAGTAATGGTCCAAGGTACCATATGTCTGTATGCCGTGGTTTGGGACATAAGTTTTCCTCCAAACCAAGACGTGCATACATCCCCTATACGAGCTAGATCACCACTGCCGGGCGCCTTCAAGTCTCCTTGAACACCCGCACCATACCCCTAGTCCCGCATGCTCTCCAATTTGGTTCTGGTGGTAAGTCGCTTATGACCATCACAACTCTTTTCACGAGCTAGACCGTGTAGACACGATACAGGCTACAGAAAAGATGATCAGATGATTACAGGACGGGAGAGTTAGAACCGACTTGCAACAGTTGGAGAAATGCAAAGCGAGACGATGTAATATCAGCTTCATGCAGCAAACTAAAGGTCATGTTAGCAGGTCAGGCAACGTAGGACAAGACAGTGGGTGTCGACGGGATATACCTAAAAGCAAAACAAGGTAAGGCCAGTCTGCCCAATGTACCCAAGTACTCTAGGTAAGGCGAAGCAGTGTGAGGCAAGGCAAGGCAAGGCAATTGAAATACGGTATGGTACATGAAGACATGCTATTAACTGCAGCTTATATCAATGTGCTTTGGTGTGACCGAGGCATTGCGAGAGATTTTGTCGACATATACCTACGACATATCGTCACTGCCTCATTGCAGAACGAACCAGTTCAACCCCTACCGACGTGAAGTGGGATATGGTGATGATGACCCAAGCTTCTTCCTTTCCTCTTGACAAGTCTTCTTTCTGCACTGCTTTCCACGTCTTCCCCGTCATTCGTTCTTCCGTTCACTCTTCCATCTTGGTCTCGCCGGAGAGCCAACTGATCAGGAAATCTCCTCTTATACATTCCTTCAACTGTCAACAACACAGGGCTGCTGGTACATACGGCAACAGCCTCACCAAACCTATACAAAACATCACCATATTGTCAAGATGGCACTTGAAGTCGAGAGAGAGAGTGGAATTGTTCAATTGCGAGTCAATTGCATGGTCATGTCTGACCACCCCAATGACCCATATTTCATGCTATGGCATAACAGAACCTTTTCAGCAAGCGTTGCCATAGTCCAGACTCCTTTTTGCTCTCCCATGCCCTTTTTTCAAGTCCTCCCGGAAATGCGTCGTCCTTTCTCTCCCCAAGGACAAATTCGCATGCAACAAATCCGGCCTCGCATACCATATTACCACATGCTCAGAAAATGTCGTTACAGTATAGCATGATTCAGGTCCGCGTATCGAGAACCATCTTGAGAAGTCATCCGCCGTAAAATCATTCCGCGCCAGGTTCCGTTTGTTGCGGACGATGAAACAAAATGCGTTAAACCGAGAAGAATATCAAGATCGAAGAGGGGAGAAAGCGGAGGAGACCGGAGGGTTGTATTTCTTTTTTGCGTCATTCAGCAACGGCACAGATGGTAGGAGCCGAGTCACGAGAGAGAAGTAAGGCAGGTAAAAAGTCGAAGAGGTGAAAAAGGTATGGCGGTGTCGAGAAAAGATTTAAAAAGGTGGTATATTTTTCGAAGAAATTAAGATGAATGATTATGGTAGCTCGTCTCGTCATCGTTACGGTCGCGGAAAGTCAGGACTAGATGGCTTCGTTTACATGATAATGGCCGGTACGTCGACGTTGGCCTTGATGGTCTTGTGTGGCAGAATGCTGCCGCCGTTAACGTAAATCTCGTCGCCAATGGTGACATCGTCGCCGAGAACTGTTACGTTCTCGAGACGGGCCCACTTGCCAACCGTGCTGTTCCAGCCAACAATGGTGCTCTTGACCCAAGCGTGGTCCTTGACCTTGGATCCCTCGAGCAACACACAGCGCTGCAGACGGACACCGTCGCCAACGACAACGTTGGGGCCAATAGTAACATTAGGTCCAATTCTGCAGTTCTTGCCGATCTTCGCTGAGGGGTCGATAAGAACGTTGCCGCCGTGGATGTAGGGCAGAGTGGTGGGGGCGAGCTCCTTGGAGCCCTTCTTGGTAAGGGAGGAAAGATAGAGGCAGGTACCCGTCAGGAAATCCTTGGGCTGACCGATGTCCATCCAGAAGCCCTCAAGGTCGAAAGAGTGTAATTGACCGTCCCTGACCATGGCAGGGAAGGTCTCCTGTTCGATGGAAGTGGGCCGCAGCTCAACGCGGTCAATAACTGAGGGGTTGAAGATGTAGAGGCCGGCGTTGATGCGGTTGCCGACGAACTGCACGGGTTTCTCAACGAAGCGGTCGATGCGAGATGGGTGGTTGGGCTTGTGGACGACGACACCATACTTGGAAGGCTCCTCCACCTTGGTCACCACGATGGTACCCTCGTCACCGTGGGCCTTGTGGAAGGCGGCGAGCTCCTTGAAGGGATATTCGCAGGTAACGTCGGAGTTGAGGACAAAGAAGGGAGTGTCGTCTTTCCTGAGGACGTCCTCGGCCAACTTCAGGGGACCAGCAGTGCCCAGGGGCTCGCTTTCGATAGAGATGGTAATGTTGATACCGAACTGCTTCTCGTACTGCATTGGGGGAGAGAAGAAAGGGTTAGCAAGGGACCTCTAGTCGGGGGGGCCTTCTTTTCCGAAGGAGCTTGTCACTAACCTCAGCCAAGTACTTCTCCATAATTTCAGGGCGATAGTTGACGGCGAGAACGATGTCGGTAACACCGGCTGCCGCAAGGGCCTCGATCTGGTGCAGAATCATTCGCTTGTTGCCGAACTCGACCAGGGGCTTGGGCATGGTCAAGGTCTATATCGAGAGACGTGGTTAGTCGTGACGTCGAATTGCTATGACGGCTACCAGGCCGCAGGCAGGCCAGCCATGAGGCCATGGCATGGCATCCCATGGCACGGCCCAGGATAATATGGTTGGGGGGTCGCTTACGAGAGGGCGAAGGCGAGTGCCAAAGCCGCCGACGAGAATAAGAGCTGCAACAGGGGGGGAACGCGTCAGTCAGGGTTCTCGTCATTGTAGGGTCCATTGTGTGGGCCAAGAGCACCAGCACCGGGAGAGACGAGGCAGAGAGGGAAGGGGGTGAGGAATCGAGGAGAGCTTACCCTTCATGATTGCTGGTTTTGGTGGTGGTTGTGTTGGTGGAAGTGTCGGTCGTAACGGTCGTGATAGACAACGAGCGTATCGCAGAAAGGGTTGTTCAACGAGTGTAAGAAGGAAGGAAGAAGCTGGAAAGGCGGCTTGCTACAACCGGTGCAAGAACTGGAGCGTTGTGAAAAGGGGGGAAGTGATTACTTATGGCCTCTTGGCGGGAATTAACGACGACCTGTCAAGTAAGAAGAACAGGACGATTGGTGCGATGGTGATAGAAGGGAATATGGTGGTGTGTCCCGAGGACGAAAGGTGTGGTTTGGAGGTGGGAGAAGGTGGGATGATGTATGGAAGTGGAAGCGAAGATTAATGTTTCCTGTTGATTGAGGACACCCTGGATGGATCTTTTTTTCGAGTCGAGGGTCCCGGACGGTCGAGTCTCTGCCCGCTTTGTGTGTGTTGCGGGCTGAATGGATGCCAGATGGTCTGAGGCTGCCCGCTGCTACTATGTATTTTACACTAGTGTACACTTTTGGCTCCCGGGCCACTCAGCTTCCATTCCCCTGGCTGGTGGACGGGAACAGGGGGCCAGGTCACACACCTCGTCCCGGGCCACTTCCAGTCACCAGTTTGGCTCCCGCACGCAGGCACCTCCCCACCTGAACCCTCTTTACCAAAGTACCTACGTACCTACTCCACGGGCAGTCTCGACGTTTCCGTCACGAATTCCATGCACATTCATCTTCCCTTTTCGTCCATTGTATTTCACCCATTCCACACAACCAGGTTGGGCCGTCTTCTTCACCACTGCGCTCTGCAGCGGCCAGGCTGTCATTGCTGTTTCCATCTCGAGCTGGTTTGGGCATGGCGCAGCAGCTTCCGGTGGGTTCCCTGCCCGATGATTTCCTGGTCCATCGATGCCACTGCACCATGCTAAAACGGTCCGCTAGCGGTTCCTGTGGCCCGTGCTCCATCTCCGGTGCTCTCTTTGTGGTCAAGTTGGGGAAGCCTGGAAAGGGGCACGGCCTCGAATGGACATGTCCCATTCGTTGAAGCCTCCACCAAAGAGGGGCAGACCACCCAAGAGATCCAAGCGGGCTCGCCAATCAAACCACATCAATCTCCTTGACGAGATTGGCTTGCGCCGTTGCAGAACACCATCCCCTGAATTTCCAACAATGCTTCTTTTGTTTCGGTGCCCCCCCCCCTTTTTTTTAGTGTAGCCACGGCGCCGCCCGAGCAGGTCAACGTCGACGACATCAGTCAGACCTGCCAACTCGATAAGCGATTTCGCTTGACTTATATCGCGATAATCTACAAGATGTTTCAGGTGCAGACAATTGGCCTGTGTGGTCATCAACTTGATGTCTGCCCATCGTTCGGACGTTGAAGTTATACTCGACGAGTATACACACGCAATCCCCAAAAACTTGCCCCTCTGTCTCATAAAAGTCATGTGTTCCATCTTCCGCCCGTGGGTCGTGGGTCAAGGAATCTTTGCTGCAGCACACCCCGCCCACTCTACGACTCCACGAACTACGCTACAAACCTGCTTTTGGCACAACATCGTCAGAGTTGGGCCGAACTAAGTCAAAATAACAATAACAAAATTACACTCTGAGCCTCAAGCACAGAGCTGACTCTGTGAATGCTTCTACGCCGTTTGCGATATCCTCCATCGGGTAATGGGGGAATTCGAGCAGATCGTTCAAAATGTCAAAACAGGCTTCCATGTCGAGGAAATGAAGGGTGTTTTATCCACAGCGGTTATCTCGATACACCGACCCTGACTGACCCAGAAATATCCCGAAATGTGGAAATGGGCTATCGTACCATGTATACACAACTTCATCAAAAGTTCAATGTGATCTCTCATACCTGCCTGTTGTGGTGGTGGTGGTGGCGGTTGTTATACGAGGTACATTAAAGGATGATACTTCGTGTGGTGACTGCGGTCTCACTTCTCACCTTATGGCACACGAGCTTACATTACTTACGTAGGAATGTATATACCTCTGTGTCAAATGAAATCTGGAAGCTCGACCATCAGACGAGAAATGATGGAGGATCTTGAAGACAGGCGAGTCGAGTGGTATACAGCGTACAATACATACCACAATGCGCATACGTAAGCCCATTTCCATAGTAATCCGCAACCGCAACCGCAACCGCCCGAGACAAGGATACCCACCATCCCCCAAATCCCTTCTGACCTCCAATGAAACAAGCACCGCCACGTTCGATGTTTTGCAGTGGTACTACTATTGCCCCGAACCTAAGCCTGGTCCAAGTATATAACCCATATACATAGGTGCTGGTGATCGCAATCATCACGGTTCTGTGGCGTCGATAATAATATGTCAATCACTCACTGGGTCCTAGAGTAAACCGGAGATTGGCGGCTCCCACGATGGCACGAGATACGCTGCTCTTCAGGTTTGTGAACTCCATTACTTATCCTTCTTTTCATTCCTCAATTTCTGCTCAAGCATTGAAATCATAGGTCGTCTATCAACTACCCTTGAAGTCTCCAGTCTTGAAAGTTGGAGTTCCATCGACGAACTGAATCCGTGGATTTAGTATCTGACCCCTGACATCCCAAAGTTCAAAGTCCGGGCTTCTAACGTACTACATAACCCTTACCTTACCCTGGACGGATCCTAAACTCTAGAGAAGTGCCAACCATACATATATCATCCTAGCGGTCCGCTCGCTTGATTTCCCTTTCCATGTACCTTCCTTCGTTCTTCCCTTCCCTAGCCCAGCAGGCCCCCAGTTACATATGTACCGCACCCTTGACCTCATTTGAGAACTTTACCCCTGGGCAGTCCCGCAGGACGCGGGCTGGATGGGGACTACTGAAACGGAGCTCTATCGGGATGAGAACTGCAATGTCGGTACGAGGCTGATCGAGCATAGCGAATCGGGATCGGACTGGGGTTATAGGGCTGGAATGGGTGGACGTCTGCTCCCATGTACTCATGTGCTAACAATATTCGTTTGAAATCCGCGCTACACATGTTAGTGCAGATGTACCGACCACTTTGATCTTATATCGACGGTTGAGAATGATACAAAGGAGAACATGTCACAGTAACATAATATCATACTTAAAGTATCCACCAAGATTGAGCAATGTCGCGAGAAAACGATTGTGTTCTTTTTATCAACCATGTCATCATCATCATCATCATCATCATCATCGTCACCCTCTATCTTGTTCACGGGTGCGACGAGTCATATGCGCTGCGTTACTTGATGCTGTCATCACCCCCTCCTCTGACCATCTATTCCCCCGTCAGATCCCCTCCTCTCACCATCTACCCCCCCGTCAGATCCCCTCCTCTGCACCAGCACTCAAGTTGCCTGGTCTCGTCATCAGTGTCTTTTTAGAGATGCCGTTTCGTTAAGTCGTAAAATCATGAAGAATAAATTCCCAGAAGAGAAGAAAGAGTGGGGAAAGAAGAAGAATAAAGCCGCGAACCTCCCATGCCAGACTCCCCTCCCCCCTCCTGATACAAGAACGCGAGGAAGTAAAGTGCTCCGACCGATCAAGATTCAGCCCAGTATGCCCTTCGCTGAATCAATGAGTCCGTGTCTCCCGGCGAAAAAAGAGAACAGATGTTTTGCGGCAAAGTATGAGGGCCTACGCGTGGACATACCGCTCCAATGTCTCGTGAAGGTGCGAAACCTATCCAGTTCAGGCGGAATGAATGGACTGCCTTTTAAGACAGCTGCAATAACAATGACATGTGTCCCAAACCAAAAAGGAGTGGCCATATGGAAGTGTCTTGCCTCGGTATTTCGAACTCAAGGTTCGATCAAGCCAAGGTGAAAGCGGTCTTAGACACATATGAAGCTGTCCAAAGTCCGCATAAAGCATTGAGAAAGGACATTCCCTTATCAGCTGGATCAGGCTGGATCAGGGACTTCCAATCCAAGTACGGCTGTACTTCAATAATACGGACGAAGCTTTTTTGAGGCCCAGTGAGGCTTCCAAAACAACCGAAAACCCGTCAAAGACGAGGAAAACCCGGAGGATCCAAAATAAGGGAATGAAGTAGAATCGTGACAACGCATCAGATCCCTGTAATCTATATTCCGTAGGTCGTCCAGTCATGAATTTTGCCGATGCAGCTTTTGTGCGTGTAGAAACCAGTGGTGATGCTATTCGTTCGTCCTTTTCCGAGTCGTCGATTGATCGTCACCTAAGGGTATAAATCCCGGGTCTTATCACCGTGTTGCTGTGAAGCGTGAAGAAGTATAGAAGAAAACAAGAAAATCCGAATCCGCTGATCGAGAAGGAATCCACGCCTTTCCAAGGGATTGTGTTGCCTTCTGCCAAGGTGTGGCAGCTCCACAGCCCTTATTCCACCGAAGCAGTCGAGCTGCTGCTTGATTCATCTCCGGAATGCCGAGTGCGGTGTCCATGCGTATAGTGAGAAGACGTTTGAGGACGGCTGCTCCGTCTGGACTTGTGCTTGGCCTCGTCTGCCGGCAACCCTTGGACGATTCCGTTGCGAGCCAGCATCCCTCCATTGACCGAGAAATTTCGGCAAACCATAAACGCACGCATGGCCGCGTTTTCCTGAGCAAGTCCATGTGTTTGATATGGGATATCTGTTTGATATTCGCGGCCGTTGACGAGAACCAAGCAGGTAAAGCCACTGCCATCACGATAACACTCGTAGGAGGGATCGTGCCATCCACGCCGCCGGCAAAGACCTGTAGAAACCCAAATTAGTAGCTTTTCTCATCAGAGTATCGACAGTACCTAGGCTCAATCATGAAAAAGCATGAGCCATGTGCAGATGGATTCCGTGCCTGCGTGGCAGCCGAACACGGATGCCTCAGCCCTATGACCGGGGTTGGTTTGATCTGTGGGTAACGGGGGGGGGGGGGGGGGGGGGGGGGCAAAAAAAACCCCTGGGGAAAAATCTGGAAAAAAAAAAAA